GCAGTATAAGTAGGTTCCATGCAGTTTCTTTTATGGGCATATGCTGAACTCTGTTCATTTGCTTATGGGTCGGAAGAAGGCTGTATTTTAATTTTTTGTGAAAGTATGAACTTGCTCCTCTTGTCTTTGAAGCTGTAGTGTGTGAAATACTAGCTGTTGTTTTTGCTGTCTTCTGCCATAAGGTGGCGTGATTTCTTTGCATTTTTTTTTTAAATCTATCCAAGAATAAAACATATTTTTGTATATATTATTTTAATAAATACAAACAATGATTGCAAGAGAATATTTTACTTTTTCTTTTAAATTGTTAGATTATGGCTGGCTATACATGCACAGACAATATTCTTATAAGGTGAGAATTAGCTGTAATGATATAGTTGCCCCTCCTTAAGCATTTTCGTCTTACCTGCAGAAGCTGTATTATACATAGAAGAAAACAGACAAGTTTGAAGGATTAACCTCTAGGTGCTGTTTTTAGTAATAGAAGCAGTATACAAGATTATTTTAAATCTGCAGGGATCAAAATAGGATGAGAGTGCAAAGTTAATGGATGCAGTTATGTTACGACTATGGTACGGAAAATATCTCACAAAACACAAAATACACAATTTTATTTCTGCACTGTGGAAATTGTACCTGTTCACACCAGGGCTCAATATGATTATCTTGTAAATTGGAACTGAATTCAGAAAATTATCATGTTTAGTATATGCCTTAATTATGTTGTTTTCACAAGAAATGTATTTAGAACTTTTTCTTTATTAAATTGCAAGAAATCTGTTTTTGTTAAGACCAGATTCCTATTTTGTATATAGTAATAAATTTTCCTATGTGAATCATTCATCATTATGAAATAGTGTCCATTAACAACCATGTTAAAATTCTGTGATTTCCACCAATTTTACTTTATAGCATGTTTGCTGGTTCATATTTGCAAGGTGTAGCTTAAGCTAAATGGAACTTGCCATGATTTAGGATTATTTAATAATTGGACTAATGAGAGAGCATGATCCTATCTTTCTTCCTACTTTTCTTCCCTGTAGGTAAGTGCCACTACTCTCATCCTCTTGCACTATTCTGTCCTGGCAAAGACATTGTTTGTAGATTTATAAACACATTCAAAGTGACTCTGTGAGACTGCAGAGACTAGAACACTGCCTTTGTAAAAATTTATATTAAACAGAGTAATCCTTTTACTCATCAACAGTTTTGGAGCCAGATTGCATAACACTTTCAACTGTAGCTCATTCCATTCATATTTTAATTTTTCTTGAGGTCTGTAAAAATGGGGGACCCTTGCAGTATTCCCTTGAAGTCAACAAATTTAGGTCCTCCTCACGAAGGAGAACATTGAAAGCTTTTGTTTCCTGAAAATCATCGTGGCACTTGTACTTTTGGTATTTCTCTGTGGTTAAAAATAGGGCAGAATAGTATCATGAGAGACATAATATCTTAGGCAGAGAAGTGTCAAGCTCTTTGAGTATTGTTAAATAATCTTTTAATGTAGAGATCTTTTTAAAATTAAAGACTGTTTAATTCTTTTAACTAAATATCAGGACAAAAAAAGGTGGCTGTTGCTGCTTTTCTTCTTGTCCTCATCCCATTTTGGAAACCTTAAAGCTATATCCAATATGAAAAAGAACATTTGTTGGATCAAATTTCTAGAGTTTAGTAATGTTTTCAAAGTTGGGATGTATCATATATTCCTTTTAAAAACCAGTGTGAGGAATTTTGTTAGAATGTTCTATCTTAATTATAACCATTAATAATGTAGTATTATTAGCTGTTATTATAGATAATAATGCTTGATTTTTTTCTGTTTTGTTAATTCCACTGAAGCAACTTTTTTGCATTTCATCTGCTAATTGAAAGCATATAACACATCTCTTTGGTATGAGGTTTTTATACTAATGAATGACATGTCTCTGCTGGATATTAGCTTTGGCATCTGTGGGTGGCAAAACCCCCTAAATGCTCATTTGACTTAATAATAAGTTTTTAAGTAGGTACCTGTCTTTGTTTGACTGATTTAAATAATCAGACAAAGCTTACACAGGGAGATAATAGCTTGTATTAGACCAACTAGTATACTAGGAAAATCAGACAAGAAGAGCTAAACATGCCCCAAACTTTTCCCACCCTGTCAGTTGATCTAATAAAAAGTATTAAGTCTCCCTGCAGAGCTTGCTTTACTGACGTTCTTAGATCATCACCATGGCCACAACGCCACCACTACGGCTAGTATAATTACGTGATTTAAATCAAAAGGCCTCTTCATTCTCAGCTTATAGTTGTGAATTTAAAATTTGAAAAGAATGTATATTTTTGTCTTAGGTTTCACCAGTTGTTCTAAGCTGTGATAACTTGCCATGGGCTGCCAGTATACACAGGTTCCAGTGTGTACTACCTTTAAGTATTGCATCTTTTGCATGTATTTTGTCCTAATTTTTATCTAAGATGTAACTGACCAATTGACAATTTTGCT